TCTCCACATATCAGTTCAAACTTCTATTTTAGATCAAACATCTCTCACCCTCGTATGTCTCTATCCTTCCTCTCCTCCCAACACTTGGATCTCTAACACTCAATCCCAACCAAAACAACTTCTTTCTCTCTCTAAATATCAAAATATAAATTGTTCCCCCTCTCTCGATCACAACTAAAGCCCTCCCCTCTCTCTCTCTCTCTCTCAAGACCCATCTCTATAATAAATCTCTCTCTCTCTCTCTCGACCCATCTCTATAAGAAATCCACGTACCAAAGAAATCTTATCTCAACACCCATCTCCATAATAGATCTAAGTACCAAACTCTCTCTCTCTCTGTCTAGATCTAAGTACCAAACTCACTCTCTCTCTAGATCTAAATACCAAACTCTCTCTCTCTCTCTACACCACCACCACCACCACCACCGCCACCTAACTCTTGTACATTCCACTTTCCTCTCAACGCCCTCCTTTATAAAAGGTCAAAGCATCTAACAAACCTTCTCTCTCTCTCTCTCTCTCATAACTCCACCTCTCACAGAGAAATTCAACATCTCTCTCTCTCATGGCACCTGCACATGGAAATTCCGATGGTTTAATCGTCTCTTTTGGTGAGATGCTCATCGATTTCGTGCCTACTGTCTCTGGCGTCTCTCTCAGAGATGCCCCAGGTTTCCTGAAGAAGCCCGGAGGCGCTCCTGCGAACGTGGCCGTCGCAGTTTCGAGGCTCGGATCTCCCTCTGCGTTCATAGGGAAGGTCGGAGACGATGAGTTCGGTCGAATGCTGGCCGATATATTGACAGAGAATAGCGTCGATACGAGAGGAGTGAGATTCGATAAGGGGGCAAGGACTGCGTTGGCCTTTGTTACTCTTAAAGCTAATGGGGAGAGAGAGTTCATGTTTTATAGGCATCCTAGTGCTGATATGTTGCTCACTGAGGAGGAATTGGATCTTGATCTCATACGTAAGGTTCGTCATCCTCATCTCTCTCTCTCTCTTCTTCTCTATCTCTATATCTATTCTCTCTGTAAACTCTCTCTCTCTCTTTATTGTTTTTTTTATTTCTATATCTATTCCAGTTCTCCCTCTCTAAACTCTGTTATCTCTCTCTCTGATCTTTCATAGATGAAAAACACCATTTCTTCTTTATGACTCTCTCTCTAACGTACACAAGTTTATTGATTTAAAATCCATCTCATTTGGGAGTTACTAGAAGAAGAGTTTAAAATTTGTAAATTCTAGGAAATTTATTCATTGACAACGATCATCAATTTTTCTTCTACTTCTATTTTCTCAATAATCTCTATAATCCTAGATTGAGACCTGTCCTTTTGTTAACTAAAAGAAGAGAGAGCAAGAGATATCTTCTGTTCAATTTCCTCCTTTAGAGAGAGAGATTCGTCTTTTTTAGGAGAGACATTTTCTTTTCAATTTCCTCCTTTAGAGAGAGAGATTCGTCTTTTTTCCCTTTCCTAGCTTCATTTGCCCTTTTTTACTTAGTAAAATGAAATTTTGTAAAGAGATATTCTTTTCAAGTTCTTCCTCTAGAGAGAGAGAGAGATTCTCCTTTTTTCCTTTTTTTTTTTTTTATTTTTTTT